TACGCTCTCCATGTGCGTGTCGAAAGATAAAGGACGCAAATTGTCCGCGAGTATTAAGGCACGCGATACATACCGACGCGCGCCGCACCGCGCCAGTGCAAGTGACAGCCGAACGATTAATCGTCGATAACCATCGCTCGTTTAATGCCCCATCATAAAATGCTAGGCTGAGGAAATTATTGATTCGTCATATTTCCCGTCAGCAATATCGTTAACGGCCATCGCAATCTCTTTACGTCGCCCAGTCAAAAACGAAAGCTCCGCACAGCCGAAAATAATCGGAAATGATTTCGGGCGCCCGCCCGCTCCCCTCACGCTCGGCGAACTGGCGCGACGATTTAAAGGGCGCTAACTATTGCCGCGACGATAAATCGCACTGACACAAACGTGCTGAGAAAACAACAACGATTACACGCCGCTCGTGTGTTTAATCCCTAAACACTCGTTTGCAGTCAATGAAACGCACGGTGCGCCAGCACGGATCGACTGCAGGAATACATATTGACGTAGAACACTCAGCAACTTGCTAATTGCAGAAACATCATTTGTTTTTAGTTGTCAATCTCTCATTTAATTCGAATTAGCGAGAGATCGCTAATCGAAACAGTCGTTTGCAGCGACACATCGGGAAGCTTTAAGTTTGCATAAAGCGATAGACGTTTATTATGTTAGGAAAGATTTTTAACCTAACTTCCGATTCTTTTCTCAAACACACACATAAAAATGTGCCTCGATGTTAAAATTGAGTAAATTAGCATCCCGCCGCATCCCTTAAGGTGAGATCTTGAAGCGAACGATATAATGTTTCTCGTAATTGCATTGTTCGCGCAGTAACTCGCGAACTCATGATCTATTGTACTTCTCTCCGTGCCCCGGAGGTGGGTGGTTAAATGTTACATAATGCCGCCCGATAGTTAGCGCGGCCGGGACTGCCGAGTACCGAATACTCGCGTTTTGCGAGTCCCCGCGACAAAAGAGGATCGGGGAATACCAGCGCGCAATGTTATTACGACTTAATGCACGGGAATTGTTTGCCCCGGTTTGAATAATCGTATCGCGCTTACGGCACACGGTTGCGCAATCGTGACGCACACAGGGTACACGTGGTACTCTCCCGGTTGCCTACCACAGGGAGAGAGTGCCTCCGTTTTACCGTTTAGTAGCGGCGGCGTTTACCTCTCGACGAGCTTCCCACGTCTTGCGGTACATAGAAGGGCCCCGCGCATATATATGTATATATGTATAAATATATATATATATATATATATATATACACTTTGTTCCATTATTCATAAACATTTTATAATCTTCTTAGCGCGGTGAATTATTGCCGTTCGCGCAATTGAAATAATGCGGACTCCGCGTTAAGGGGTGGCCCAGTTGGGATCGCGTACGCATAGCTACGGAGGGGAACGTAACTCCGACAGGGGCCGGGGAGAGAGCGAACCCGGGGAAGAAGTGACGCGGTTCTGTTCTGAACGCGGGAGGGTGGCGCGGAGAGGGTTGCGCGGCAACGAGAATAGAACGAGTTCGTTCGTTGAAGTGGCGTTGAAATGTTTCGAAGCGAGGGAAAAATAATTGGACGAAGAGCTCCATCGTTTCCCCTCTTCCCCCTGGGAGACGACGGTGGTACAGAACGGGGGTTCGAAAGAAAGCTGCGGGCAGCAGGGGGAGCCGGGGCGGAGGGAGGGACAACGCAGTGCGTCGCTTTGACGACGATGACGAAGACGACGGCAACGACGACGGGGATGATGACGATCGACATCGCGTTTCCCCCTAAGAACTCGAAGATTCGCGAGTCTTTCTTTTTTTTTAGACTCCTCGTTACCGACAAATCTCCCATCACCTTTCGGGGATAGGTAGCGTCATCCGATAAGAAAAGTTAAGTTGAAAGAGTATAGCGAATGGAAGGGAACTAAGGGCAACTGAGGATATCGCCGATAACTTTCGATCGTCGTAACTCATGGGGGGAAGGCAAGAGGGGGACACATCGGCTGACGGAAGTTGCGCGCGAGTTACGTGTGCCAGCGAGATATTCCGGCCGCGTGCGCTTACATTCCCGACGTATAACTGATCCCCGCGCTTTACTGACGGATGATGCCGGAATAAGAGTTACCGAAACGATATCCTCCCCGCTGTAATTCGGTGCCACGTAGATTCGCAGCGTGGCGATATGTATGTGTATGTGTGTATATTATAACGTATATATACAGATATATATGCCCGCGCTCGTCGGAGCTCTGGCTGATCTCTCTATTACGGGTCGGATTAGCTAGTTATGAAACTCGACCGAGGCTCGGCGAGCGGTGATGAAGCGTGTTGGGAAAGTTTCCGCCGGGACGAGATCGGGGCGTGGGATATGCCGCGGTGGAGTTGCGCGGAATAAGCGATCAGGCCCTTCCCACGGCACAAGCACATCCATCCCCGCCGAGTAACTTCGTTCTGATACCAGTGTCCAAGGACGAATGTCGCGGCTGAGGATTGCGGCGGAATTATCTCCGGAAGATTCGCGCCAGCTAAGCGCCTAGCTGAGGATAGAAATTGGAACTTGTTCGGGTGATTCGGGAGAAATGGATGCAGCAACCGCGTTGCGGTTAACGTCGCAATGATCGACCCTGCCTTAACGTCGGAAGGTCAACTTGGCGGAGCGGAGATTAAGCTCGAGATTGCGTTTCAGACCTCGCGTGCTTCATTTTGTCAAAGGTATTGTAATTGTTGAGGGAGGGGGAGCGGTGAGAGAGGGGAGCGACATACCTGAGATTCTTGGCGGGCAATCGCGAACGCATTCTACGTGATAAACCGACTACCGGTTGGAAACTGTCGTCGCGCTGTTGCGCGCGCGCGCGCGCTCGCGTAATTTTAATTAAAGAGCTCGGAGAAAGCTGACGCAACATCGTCCTGGCTTTCGACAAAGAACCAGAGCTCTGACGCAACGGCAGAACGTAGCTGAGAGCGGGAGAGGCCGGGCGAGTGGGCTTGGTCTTTGCTGCGAGGAGCGAAGGAGCACAGACTTCGCACATTGTAAAGCTCTCTTCTCTCTCGCATACTACTTCCGTTACTTCTCCTCGGCGCGGCGCGGCCTCCCTTCGCCGCCACCGCCACCCCGTGCTTCTTCCTTCGTCGTCGCGAGCGAGCAGCAGCGCCTACCTGCCAAAGACGATGGGCGCGCTGCGTTACGTCACCGACTGCGAATCAAAATCTTATTAACTGCTGAAAGTGAGTTTCACTTCAAAGTGGAATTTAATTACATTCGCGCCTGCCTACCCGCGCCCTTCCCACCCGTTTCCTTATTTCTCCCGGTCGCCCCTCGGTTTGCTCTATCTCTTCTCTGCTCTCACTCTTTCCTTCCCTTCTCTTTCCCTTTTCGCTGGTTCGCCTTGCTTTCTCATTTTCTTCGATCACCTTCGTAGCTCGTTGCTACCCCCCTTTTCCCCTTCTCTCTCTCTCTCTTCCCTCGTTGCCTGCCGAGTGAAGACGCATCGCGAGGTCTTCACTCTTGAATGAAAATATTTAAATTTCGCCGCCTCGTCCAGCGGAAATTATTGCTCTCGCCGCGCTTCGTCCGACTGCAGCTCCGCACCCACTTTTCGTCCGCCATTCCCCGTCAGTTATCCCCGCCCGAATTACATCCATCCCTCGACGCCTGCCTACCCTTCCGCGCTGTTTACAGCGCGAGCGGATATTCAAATGCCGTCGCGATTATATCCTTCCGCCTGGGCTTAGTCGTGCATCATCGTCGAGCGCGGTGAGCTTCCATCTCTTTTTTCCTTCTCGTAATGCCTGGTCGAGGCAATTGCCTTCTTTCCTTTGAGATAGTCAGCCCTTCCTCCCTCCCTCTTTTGCTGCTTCATCTCGTGATTAATTTCGCGGAGTCCGTTTGCCCCTCCCCCCAGCCACCCCCCTTCCTAAAAACCAGGTGCCCCGGAGAGTCTCTTTGCTCGCTTCATCGTTCGATGAAAACGCTTAAAGACGCCGCGGATTATGAGCTCTTCGTGGCTCTCTCGGATACTGTACAGTACAAAGTGTCCAAGGTTATCACACTATCTCTTTTTTATTTCTCCGACTATTTTAAAACCAATTTTTCTTCAACAAAATGTCAAGGTTTTTTTTTCTTTCACATGATAAAATATGTATAAGAGATCTTTTTAAGATGTCAGCCTTGGACATCACTCGATTTCTTGTGTAATTCAAAATGAATTTTATTTTAACAAATGTAGTTGTCTGGGTCGCAATTTAAACACATTTCAAGTTAAACATTTGAAAGAAAATATAGTGAGCATTTGCTACATTTTGTGTATATTATGAAATTTACTTTTACGCGCTAACAAGAAGATGAAACTACAGTGTTGAAATAACGCGAGCTTTTGCTTCGGATTTGTTATATTCGCTGATTTTTAAAGGATTAAAACCGTATATGAATCGAGCGGAAGAGGTAACGCGCGCTGCGAAGACGTGAAATGATCGTGCCAGTAAAGAGGGAACGCGAATATCCCGCCCTGCGGCTAAAAATTGCACAGATACCCGTATTTTTATGGACAATGTGCCTATGCTTTTATCCCACGACATAAAAATATACGCGCGCCGCGTTACGGTACACTTAGCTCTAGAGGGAATACGGTTTTCGTGCTTAATCCCTCAGGGACTGAAGCACGGAAGCTATTTTTAAATTCCTTTATCGGCGATCTTTGAACTTTTTACGATGGCGAATCGTTGGGCGCAACATAATTTACGATTCTCATGTATGTTTTTATTACGAATTTTCTGCGAATCTCTATCGACGAATGCAAAATTGAAGTGCAATACTTGAGCTATCTTATCCCCGAGGAGACATTTATTTAGACGTAACAATTGACAGTTGGGATTGATCGAAGAAGCAATCGATATTGGGATTGAGAAATTTGATTATCCGCATCTTGTTCGTAGTGCACAAATATTAATCATGCAAATAATTGTCAAATATATACTCAGAGTGTAAGAAGCTTGACAATGAGAGTACTCACCTCTGCTGCTTCCGTCGGGTCCACGGAGGATGGTGCACTCCTCTATTGAACCGAAGGTAGTAAACAGCTGTCGCACATCGTCTTCAGTTTGTTGCTTGCTTAACATACCAACGAACAGCTTTCTGTCTGCGAGGGTCGACGACGGCGCGTTGCGAAATAGAGGGAACAGAGAAAAAAAAGAAAGAACAACGTTAGTCAGTTCCGTGTGCAGGCTTAAAGCGGGTTATAAGGCGTTAAAGAGAAGATCTTGCGGCTAACACCGAGAACGACAAAGTTACACGGTTACACCAGCATCCACCATCCTAAAGGGAGGGGAAATAGGGATATATATATAGATATATATATATAATATATAAAAACGTAACATATCTGTAGGTGCACACGTACGGTACCTTCGACGCGCACGGTTACACTCGTCATTACGTCAACGTGTACATCTAATAGCACTGCGGAAACCGCGCAAGTGTAACGTGTGTGTACGAGTATTTTGTGTGTGTATGTGTGTGTGTGTCTTCTGTGCGACAATAGTAACCGAGAACAACCACGGGAACAATTATCATAACCGATAACAATGTAACATACATATGTAACATATGGAAACGGTACTTTAAGGGAGGATGGTAACGGAAATCGTAATAACAAAGGCAAGAAAAATAATCCAACCAGTGTTGATCTACATTCGATATTGTAATACGTATCAAAACCGAAAAACGAATCGCGATAAAATCAGGATATTAAGCGGTCCAATTATGGCTGACACGCCCGACGGTGATCCGTGTCGAGTTGATGTTTTTTCCAATTTCTTTTCAGGAGCAATTCCACTAAACTAATAAGCGGTTCAGCGGACGAACAATATAATATATTCTCGAGATAGATCACCGTTACACAAAATTTAACAATGAATACTTATATTCTGCAGCTATTTCTAAGTTGTGCGCGGAAAGTTGAATGAGGAAGAACGGGGATCATACATCATACGAGGTGTATTTCATGTTGAATATGATTTTATCACAACTCTCTGATGATATCCGGTTTCGCGCGCGCAAAATCGAGAATTTTCAAGATTAATATCATTCCGATTTCCATTTCGCTTGTTTTTGCAAGGTGGATGTAGCGTACTTGAAACTGTTTTGGTCAATTTCGCTTTTTGAAAGTATTTTCGACTTTGTGTAAGCTAGATTTATCCTAAAATATGGTTGTAGTTGTAATTCAAATTAATAGGTCACAACTCAAATTTTGACAAATTAATAGCGGCGGTAAGCTTGTTTAGAAATATCTGCACTAAATGTGTATCAGCGTGTGTTTGTATATGTGTGTGTGTGTGTGTCCTCGTGTGTAATATCAAATAGTATAAAACACACGACCATGGCTGTGCGAGATTCACAATTAGTAGGATAACACGGGAGAGAGTTCCAATTGAATTGGGAACGGAATGTTGGAGAGAGGATTGGGGAGGAGTGGTGTTCGACTGTTGAGAAATGGAAGGACGTCATATATAAATTGTCATATATAGAATCAAATCTAGGTAATACAATAAGATAAATGTAGCTCACATATATTATATCATAATCAGAAAATATGTACAGAGGTGATAAAAAACACATTGACAACGAACGAGACAACACATCCAACGAGCGAGCCACTATTATATGATCATAGCTGTAAAGAGCGGTATATGTATATATATATATTTTTTATATATATATAATATATGTACGATCAAGATGGTTCTGTCCATACGAATATGGATATGAGATTTAGACTGGGGGGGGGGGGTGGTTTCGGGAATATAAGACGACGGGACTGTGGACTTAGAGACGTAACAATAAACTCGGTACTCGGAGCAAAGGGTCGTTGCTGTCGTACGGTCGGTAGACGCTCTAAGACCCGCGATTTCTCTCTCATGTATTCTGCATCGCTCTCGGTCCATTGTGCCGGTCTGTAGAAATTCTAAGAGCGTCCACGCCACGCACGCCCCGTCGTAACGGGGCTTCAATAAGTGTGATGTAAACGGCGGTGCGTAATAAACAGAGCAAAAAAACACGAACGACAGGTTTACGGCTACAGGTTTCAGTCACGCATGTGGGTACGCACAACACTGTCTATAATATACCTTCTGTAATGCGTAATACGATGCGTATCGTGCCGGATGAGAAAGAACGGATGAGAAGGGGGATAGCGAGACTGACATAGAGGAGCCCAATATAGCGATCGTTTTTCTCATCGCGCGGATTTAAGCAGTGCGCGCTACCGTAAGAGCGTGCGAGTTGATTTTTACAGTTGAATTTTTTGCTGAGAGCATCTCTCGAGAATTTTGTCAGCGAAGAGATTTTGACTTTTCGAAATTGTGCGTTCGGAAAAATCGAAGAGCTTTTCGAATTTCTCTCGAGCCAATTGTTTTGTGCCAATCCAGAGTGCCAATAATCCAACACGGACGAATACATATACGAATCCCATAATCCTAAACGTACGCGAGAGTCCTAATGAGTTGCGCGTGTGTCGAAAGTTTCGTGAAACTTTGAGACCTTTTTTTTTTCTTTTGCGAAAGAATTTGGACGAGCACTTTGTGCAAATTTAGCCTCCTCGGCGGATGGATATGTACCGGCTGCACTAAGTCGGGCTAAAGGGATAGTGGTTCGTGAGGGAATGCTGGGAGTTCGGTGGTTCAAACACTAGCGAGCGGCAAAATGAACTTTGCGGCGGGCTGTGCTGGCTGAATCAGCGGTGTTGGCGTGATGTTGGCGGGAGAGAATGAGAGGGAGAGGTTGGATAAGTTGGACCCGTTTCTCTTTTTTTTTTTTCCTTATTCATCTTGTTCTCATTTCATCGAGGGGGGTGGGGGAGGGGGGAGTTCTCTTTCTGCCAATTTGCGGAGAAGAATAGAGGTACTGGAAGGAAGCTAGCTATCTCCTGGAAGTCGAAGTTACCTTCAGCGGCCGAAACCGGTGCTTCCTACTTCCAGAAGATGGCACAGGCGCTCCCGTCGTCCATCATGCACTCTGGAATACAGAACAGAAACAAAGAAATGGCATTGGACCCAAGTAATGCACCATTCGTCGTCTATATGAATCCTCGCTAGATTCAATTCGAGTCTTTAGTCTCGCCCAACTGCGAATTGTACCCATGCGTTTCTTTCGCATACTCGTACAGTAGTACAGGTCATTTCTTTCGATCGGATCTTCTGCGTGATGAATACGATACGACCTATCAGATTATAAAAAAAATTCATGATCAGTAACAAGAATATCATTTGTAAAAAAAAAACATAATCAACGCTTTATAAAAAACATCGCTGCGTTGAGCGAAAGCTATTTCTCTTCAGTTTACAATTCCAGATTATAATTGATCATAACTTATCAGTTTTCTGGTGCTGCACTAAATTCATTTACGCAGCGGACGATTAAGTTTCGTTAAAATGTATATTCCGTTTGATTATCGTTAAATATCAAGTACGGGTATTTTTGAATTTAACATTGCAATTAGGTTTTGTAATTATAGTAACCTAATTTTCATAATATAATATTAGTCGTGGATATAATGCAATCAGTTTAATAATCGCAGGAATTAAACTATCACGAAATATCAATAGCACCGGTAACAAGATTCGAAACTCATATTATGCTATTTACGATAATGAAACTCGGATAATTTCCATAAACATTTCAATACGTTTGATTTTAACTAATTGAGAAATCTCTCGCAGAGGGGGGTCCGTATCAAAATTGGATGAATGCGAATTTATTTCAGATTTTTTTCCCGAACGGTTTCATCCTTCCGTTCTTAAATCGTCGATAAATTAAATAAGAGACGCGGCACCTTTACGTAAATGCGCCGGGGAATCTCGACGTACGAGCAAAAAATATCAACGGGGGATGGGGGAAGACGGTTTATGTTTTTCCGGTTAGAGATCGCGACTGCATCCCGGATTACGACGCTCTGTTTTCGATCTACCGCATTTCCCGCGTGAATGAGCTTAATGACGCATTTCGCGAGGGGGTTATGGAGACGCAAAATTGGCGAGCCGAGTTAAAGGTCGTTGTCGCGGATGCTAGACGAGAGCTCATTCCGCGAGATGCCTCGGCTCGCGCCTTCCAGCCGGGCTCCGGGGCACATTTAAGGATTTGTCTCGGGAAATTAGATTCTCGCCTGACTTGCAGCCTCGTTGCATCCCCGCTTTCCGCAGATTCTTCCCTTCCTTACCCCTCCCCTACGCTACACCCTCTTTTTACTTCCCCCTCCCCCCTCCGGGCAATCCTCATACCAGCCCACACCCGTCTCGATTCCCTTCGGCGTATCAAACGCCTCGTCGTTTCTCTGCTCGTCGGGGAATATCCCGTCTGCCCTTAGTTTCATTAGCTGGAAACAAACTTCTCTCGTCGTTATTATACATACATACAGGGAACTTTTTTATTCCGTGCAATATATGTATCGGTGTCTTTAACAGCATTAGATTCCATATCAATCGTATACAAGAGTACTATGTAATAAACTACAGATAATTCGCAGTAATAGTGAGTCGCGATAACAGGTTCGTCGTATAAAATTCATGCTCGCGCCGGCGGGCGCGATAGACTACACGATAAAAAATGTACACCCGCGGTACCACCCACCCGGGTCGTGTTGATATTCATCGGCTCGTTCTCTCTACAGAGTTGTCGCGCGCGCGCGGTGCTCCTCTTCGTATCTTTCCCATGCACACCTTGTGCCGAGAGCCAATTTTATTAATTACGTGGAATTTTACAGCTGGCGATGGCCGTCATGTTGACATACGCTTATCGCCGCAGTGGGCCGCGGGTCATAAATTTCGCGTCACGGTAGGGTATAACGGGGTGAAGGAGGGGGCCGCATCCGCGTGTGGTATGACGAGCTTCAGATAATCGAGAGACAAATTGTCGATCGACCATTGTTTTTAATGAGTCGTCGCTCGTGCCCGCCTCGTTTCCTCCCAATCGCGTGACCATACGCCCACCGTTGTCCCGTCGACATATAAATATGTAATTTGGTTGATATTATTATTGCTATTATTATTATTTGAAAAAAAACGCGCTATCTCTAATCGGCGTGGTTGTGAGTAAAACAGTATCTCGGGCAAAAATCTGACGCTTATCCACCCTTCGTTCGTCCGCTCGCGCACTCCGCGTTCGATTCGTCCCACGCGTTAATTTCTATAAAGCATCTCGTGGCAAATATAGCTCGTATCCATTGGTGCCACGATTTAATTAAAAATATGGTATTTATCTTTGGAGGCGGGTCGTAACCGATCGATACTGTTCCATCCGTTCGGCGAGCGCCATCGCCGAAGCTCCCGGCGTCGCTTCCGATGCATGTAAATAGCAGGGAAGCTCGTCCGGGAATTCCCGAAGGCTAAGAGCCGTCGGGGCCCCCTTCGTTACCATTCGCAAAGTCCGCGCCGCACCGGGGACAGCGTTCCCGACGAGCCGGCAACTACTCCGAAGTCCTTCCTGTCGACGAAGGTGGGCAGGACTCCAACGCAAGGAGCGCACCAAGATAAAGGAGGAGAGCATGGTACATGTGAGAGAGAGAAGGGGAAGGGAGAGAGAGAGAGAGAAAGAGAGGGAGATACATATAGAAATGCGAAGGAAGAGATCGAGGGAGATCGCGCAGGGCGTTAGACCGGGATACGCGGAAGAAGGCACGATGTACGGGGGCGGCGAAGGGGAGTAGATGAGGGGGATCGTAATTCATATGCTAATCTGGAGGAGATGCCATTGTAATCTCCGGTCGCCTGCCTCCGTGCGGCCCCACAAAGCCTCGGCTTGACGCGGATGCAGGAGTGATCCTGAGCACGGTGCCGCTGCCGTTCCCGCCGCCGCGCCGCGCGCCGCCGCCGCCGCCGTTGCTTCTGCGGCGCCGTATATACCTATGTACGACGCTGTATCCACGTAGTCGCAGAGAGAGTTCAATCAGGGAGGGTTACTGAACTTCGACAACACCGTCGAGCCACCACCGCCGTCGCCGCCGTCGCCTCCACCCTCATCGGCATCGCCGATGTCTATCCTCCGTCGCGCGTACGATCGTACAAGATGGTTTCCGCCACACTTCATCCTCGCGTCTCACTCTCCTTGTCCACCCTCCTAATCGCATCGTCCTTAACAACCATCCCCGGCGCGATCTTTACGATCCTTCGTGGCCGTTGACGTGACCCTTCATCGGAGCGCGATACAGATGTTAATGACGTCATGTAATTCGTTGGGATAACGCACGGGATCATGGCAAATCCACAGTCGCGTAATTACTAGTCCCCACGACCGACGTTACGCGTAATCTGCCTCAGGACGTCAAGACCGATCCGTGCCGACCGACATCAACATCAAAATCGGAATTAAACCATCTCGAAGACGTATTACTGTTTTAGTAACCTCCGACATTTGATCGCGTCTCGCAATCATGCAATTAACGATATAACAGGATTACTATCCGGTAACAATCGGCCCACGCATTCAGGTCACCTAGAATATCTCCCCATCAGCGGTAATTCATTTTTCGCGCTTTAATCCGTGTATAAATTCTATCTCGATCGCATAAATGGATTCTAAGAATTTCATTTCGATCTGAAAACGGATTTAAATCGAATTGAATCACTTTAAGTTGTCCCGCAAGTAGGTCGAATCTACCATAATCGTTTCTTGCCGATTTCGCGAACTCTCACGTGGGAAACACACTGCATTCTTAGTGAGCAAAATCGATGTAACTTTTTCACGATGTATTTTTATTAAAAAGAAACGAAGGAAATGACGCTGCATATTACTGCTGCGCGTTCATGAAATGATAGTTTAAGATAGCTTACAACCGCTTTTCTCGTCTATCTTGTGAACGATTTCCAAGGGACTTCTTCGCCTCTTTCCACGTTAATGACCGCCCTTTACGCCTGCAATCCCCGACATGCAGTTTAATTACATCATTTTATAGATTTTCTTCTGTAACGACTAGCGCTCGAGCGGCTCGACTTCGCAAAGTAAACGTCCTATTAGCGATACAAAAGATAAATCAGGCTTTTAATTGCGAGACGATGCGACGCTACTGAAACGTTCGAAACCGCGGAAAATGACGGCCTGTTCCGCCGCGTCCGCTTTATCATATCGCGCGCATTGAGGAAGCTTATATATGCGCGCGAGATATCGCGAAGTATTTGTACGATAAATCCGTCCGCGGTAAATCGTACGAACAGTCGAAAAGATATTTTCATGTTAAATTTCGGCCTTATCTTGAAAATCCTTGCTAACGTTTTATAGATTTACCGTATTCGAGATGCGCGAACAATGACCGTTCATAAACGCGCTATCGTCCGCAATATCGGCTGCAATTTTACGATCGTAACTCGCACGAGCTGTGCACTTATCCTTTCCGGCTCTTATCGCGCCGGTGTATCATCGTAGATACGCTTTACCTCTCGGGAAGAGATCTCAACGTGAGTGAAGATTTCTCCCCCCAACGATGCTGCCTCCCCTGAAACATTTTTCACGCATACGTCGATGGGATAAGACCCCGCCGCCGCGCCGCGCGCGCGATAGTAGCGAGCAGCCGAAGCAGCCCCGGAATTAAGTTTACAGCGACGAGAACAGATTTGAGAAATGCGTATCTCGCGCGGAAGTTGGCCCGCCGACTCAGGGTCGGTCGAAGTTTCTACGACTGGATAAGGGTGGGTGCCTGCTGTACCGGAGCTAGTTGAGCAAGTAGATAAGTTTCGATCCCTCAGCGAGCCACCTTGCTCCCACTGCCATCACTCGCCCTACCTCTTCGTCGTAGATAAACGTATCCCGGAATATTGGGGTTGGGGGGAAGGAGGGGGAGCGGCGGGGCCCACAGCCGCCACCGCCGCCTTCTCGCGCGTCGCTGCCAAGTTCGGCCCGACTGACGTGACGTGGACTGGTCTTAAACCCGTCCGAGAGAGAAATCCTCGCGGATTATAAGAGTCCGTCTTCGTGCTGCTTCTTCTTACGAGGAAGAACGACGGATGACGGGAGCACACCGTCGTAAGGCGAGCGCGAACTTACTCTCTTGGATTTGTAACTGCAGTTTCATTTTATGGTATGTCGGAGTATTTAGCGAAGTTAGTTCACTTACGAGCAATACGACACTTACGAGCACTCTCAGAGAAGTTTGAAAATTACAAAAAGGCTTATGAAACGTTCTTGTTTATCATGATATTCATTTGAATGAACGTTTCACTGATATGGAATATTTGAATTTCGAGGAAAAATGTATTTTAATGGTCGAGTTTTGTAATTACAGCTAGTTTCTCGTCAATTTTTAAGTAGCAAAAATATTTTATACATTCAAAGAGAGAAAAATATTAATCAATTAAGTTTTATATACTTTTAAAAATTATTAATTAAAACCGTATTAATGGTTTATTATTTCAATATTAATTTTATTCATTTTGAAAGAAAGATCATAAAAAAATAGTTAAATGTATTTTTTAGAATTACTCTTTTAAACACATATTGTTTATCGCACAAATGTAGCGATTCATTGAGAATAATTAATGACAATTCGATGGAACTATTTTAGCAGGCCTATGCTGACTCCGAAGAACACTCATCACGAATAAAATGTGGTTTTGGATATCCGCATGTTAAACAAAACGTTCGTTTTGTTCTCCTCGTCTAGCGAGACGATAATTTCCTCGAGAGTTAATTCCTCCTTCGCTTCCGCTCGGGGAGTCGCAAGGAAGGAGGACGCGAAGGGCGCGTTAACACTTAGTTTCGGCGACAAAGGTCCAATTCTTGGTCCCTACGGTATCCTGACGCGACAATGGGAGAGCGAACTCCCGGCGAAAAGTACCCGGGGAAAACTAGTTTGCCATTGATTCATCACGGGCCGTATATTCGTGGGATATTTAATTATTTACTGTCGTTCATGAAATGAGTATCCAAGATACACGTGTGATTATATAAATCTCTTGCGACGTATCGAGTCTTTTTACTTGTACGGTGTAAAAATGGAAATATTGTGGATAGTCAAAAAAAATGGAGAAAAGTTACTTTAAGAGCGTTATTATTTTTAATTATTTAGCTAAATTTAACGACTCTTTAAATTCTAAATTTAATTTAAAATTTGATAAGAATTTTGATATTCTTCATCGTAATTAAATTAGCATAATTAAATTATAATTTTCTCAATATAAAGACATATATTGGATCGATTGCTTGTTCTCACCTCCGCGGTTTTCACTGTCCGCTGGCTTCACTTGAATAGGACGGTTCATCTGCAACAGAAAATAAAAACGACACGTTAGTCGTCTCACAATAAGGCGTCTCTCTCTGGGTTCCTATGATATTTCTTATATTTACAGACAGTCATGGACTTTTGTCTTTTCTATTTCTGCTTTTATCCTTTCTGAGAGGATAGAAGTGGAGCAAGAAGAACGAGAGTTCATGGCGGGACGGGTAGGACGAAACCGGGGCACGCGGGAAGGCAAGAGGAATATCCAGTTTGCCGAGAAAGCGGAAGTATCGTTATTTGTCCGGCATGTATGCGCTCGTCCTTCCCGTCACTTCGGCCCCGTTCAAACACCATCAGTGGTTGCGAGAGCTTCCTCTGCCGTTGACAGTTCTGGCTGTCAGAGTGCGCGTGGGCTCGCGAGTAGAGGAGCGGCGACGGAGACGGGAACGAGATGGAACGAGTGTGACAGAGGCGCTCGAGAAAGGACGAAGAGAGGGAGAGGGGGGTGGGGAGCAGGAGGAGCAGCCGGGTATCCCATCCCACCGTTGTGGGTTACGAAAGCACGGAACCCGCCACTCGTCCTTCCGCCGCGGTCCTGCTAGAAGTCCTTTGGACCGCTGCGGATGGGTCGGGGATCCCAACGAACAAATAACATTGTTTATTTCTCGGACGGGTCGCACCGCCGCAGCGCGTTCCAGTTCGCTCCTAAGGGATGAGGATGCATGATTCATGACGTGGGGGACACAGGACCGTACTTCGATCCCAGTTTGCACGCTCCTCCCGCGCCTCGTTTTCCCGCCTCTTTCCTCGTCCCTCTCTCGCGCGCGTTTTCGTTTCTCCTCATCGACTTCCCTCGGTCTTGAACTCTTTGCACAATACACCCTCCCCCCCGCCCCTTCTTTCCACCACTTCCGTGTCTCCGTTGGCGCGAATGCCGCCTTCCAACGGTGGTATTATCCTACTGCTAGCCTTGCAGATCCTTTCTCTCTAACCAATTTTCCTCCGAGGATCACTGGACTGCCGCATATGCGAAAGAGTTCCAAGATCTTACGGTTTACCGGTGCACAGTAAAAAGAGATACAGAGATAGGGCGATACGCGCGCGCGGTAATCGTGCGATTTCTACTTGCGTCTGAATTTTAGCGCGATGTCCCGGAAAAACGGCCGACACACGTGACACGACCCCCATGGAATTGGTTTTCTAAACTTGCGTTTTTATTTAACGGACACGACGCAAACGTGATCATCGACGTTCAAAGTGCCACGTCCAAAATGGAAACGTTACATGTCCCCGTTAAAGTCGAAATTTGTCCTGCAACGCGTGTTCCTTTGGCGAGACAATTCGCGAATCAAGACATCGTGCACGACAAAATTGTGAACAAAAAGTTGTTTATGTTTCTCTTTTTTTTAACAATTGAATAAAATGTTGTATTTCAGTCATTTCAGATCACACTTCTTCAAATATATAATTAAAAATTCTTTTCAAATATATCTACCAGTCCCTAAATTTATTCAGTAATATTATATAAATGAATTATTATCTAAAAAATGAATCGTTAACAATAAAAGAATGTGGAAATTTCATGTTTGATAACTTGTAATATTAAATATTTTTTAAATTATTATTTAGAAAGGAAATTAATATTTTGATAACTCTCCAACGAAATTTCGTTATCATTTTCACGTTTTATAGTTTTTACTCGTTCAAGTTATTTGTTTCAAACTTCTAAATGTTCTTTAAAGAACTTAATGAATTGATCAATTAACTATTTCGATTCCTGCTATGTGTAATAATCAGTCATATCCGTATTAGTTTGAGCGCGAAGGGCCCGCGTGGCAAACATTAATTGTTACACGGCGTGACGTTCAATCATGACGACACTCTGATCCCAACAATAAAACACGAATCCTATTTATAATCACGAACAGGCGAGCCGGCAGGCACCGCGCCGGCCATGCCGATGCACCAGGGATGCAGGTGCGCATTTATTTATCCTGAATGCGAATTATCACTCGACCGGAGACGCAATTCTGACGTATTGTTTGATTGCGTCAAAAAGTGAAGATAACGGGCTAAGCGCGCGATACTGCCGACAAATTCGCACGGAAATTGGACGAAATACGATATGAAACGGTACAATGGAATAGTTCTCTCTCTTTCGCTCTCTCTGTTTCGCGATCGGTCAGCTCTGCCGCGGATTTTAGACGGAATATTACGTCAGAAAAGTGCGCGGGGCCGCATTTTGAAGACCCAGTTACCCGGCAACAAGCGAAACGTCAAACATCAATCGTCGACAGAATTAATTACGGGTTGCAATTAATTTGCCAATTAGATCACAGGCCGGGATCCATTTAGATGTAATCTGCTTGCTGGCAGCTCATCCTCTTTCCGCGTTTCCCTCCGCTCTAGTATCTGCCGCGCAGCATCCAACGCGAGCGCGTACAGAGAGAGGCTTGGCATTTCGCTCCGAAGCCATTTATGGTGATCGTGATCCCCGAGCGACGACGAGGGAGAGAACATCGGCCAAACATCACGTCGCTTGCGGTGATGCTGTAGAACTGCAACGCCGACCGGGGAGGCAAGGAAAATAGAAGAGGAAGGAGGAAAGACGCTCCGGTCTCGGCGCAAATAATAAAATGTTCGGCAGCTCAGGATGGTGCCTCGTGCTGGGGCTGCTAGCGGCGAGCCTGTCGGCCTCGCTCGCGCAGGCGAACTATCCTCCTCCTCCGGAGAAGTTGACCGGCATGAATCCGTGCATCAGTAAACAGACGTGCCACGAGTGTATACAGACTCCGCACTGCGCTTGGTGCGCGGCACCAAAATTCCCAGAGAAGAGGTGCTTCCTCCCGAATATCAACACCAAAATATTCGCGACGTGCCCCCCTGAATACACATGGAACCCGGACAACGTCTTCAGCATGCTGCGGCACCGGAACTTGACGAAGGGCGGTTACGCCGCCGCCGGCGGCGGAACGGGTGGGGGATACATCGAGAGCTCGTACTCGCAACTTCTCGTCTTCCAGCACGTCTTCATCGCACTCCCACAAGGAGAGTTGGGGCGGTGGCGGCGGCAGGCGACGAGAGGCCGTGCAAATGTGGCCGCAAGAAGTCAATCTGAAGCTCAGGATAAACGAGGCTTGCAGAATGTCCTTTGCTTATTTCCAAGCGGAGGATTATCCAGTCGATCTCTATTATCTTATGGACCTAAGTAAATCTATGGAGGATGATAAGAAGAAGCTATCCGATTTGGGCCAGCTACTGGTCGAGAGTATGAGCAAGATTACGAGCAATTTTCGTCTGGGTTTCGGCAGCTTTGTCGACAAAGTCGTGATGCCGTACGTCAATACAGTGCCAAAATCCCTCATCGAACCGTGTGACGGATGCGCGGCGCCGTACGGATACAAGAACATTATGAGGCTCTCTCAGGACACGAGCAAATTTGCGGGTTTGGTACGCAATGCGTCGGTGTCCGGCAACCTGGACGCACCGGAGGGTGGTTTCGACGCGATCATGCAGGCGATAGTCTGCCGGAATCAGATCGGCTGGCGCGAGAAGGCGCGCCGGCTGCTGGTGTTCTCGACGGACGCCGGTTTTCACTACGCCGGCGACGGCAAGCTGGGCGGTATCATCAAACCGAACGACGGCCTCTGTCACCTGGACACCTACGGCACGTACACCCACTCGTCCCTGCAAGACTATCCGAGCATCTCGCAGATCAACCTGAAGGTGAAGCAGAACGCGATAAACATCATCTGGGCGGTGACCGAGGAACAGATCAATGTCTATAAGAGATTGATGAAGCACGTGGAAGGTTCCTTCGCCGGCAAGCTCTCGGACGATTCCAGCAACGTCGTGGAGCTGATCCGCGAGCAGTACGACGCGATCTCGAGCTCGGTCGAGATGAAGGACACAGCCAGCAGCGCGATCAAGGTGAAGTACTTCTCGAGCTGCTTGGGCAACGGGCCGGCGGTCGAGACGTCGAAATGCGACGGACTGAAGGTCGGCACGAAGGTGGAGTTCATCGCGGAGATCGAGGTCACCAGCTGTCCGGCCAACAGATCAGAGTGGAAGCAGAAGTTTGACATTTATCCGGTCGGTATCAACGAGACTCTCACGGTGAACCTGGAGATGCTGTGCGACTGCGAGTGCGAGCGTAAAGGCCACATGTTCGAGGAACATTCGTCGGAATGCAACGGCATGGGCACGCTCAAGTGCGGCGTATGCGGGTGCTACGACGGATGTTTCGGCAGGCACTGCGAGTGCAGCTCGATTCAAGAGATAGCCGGCTTCGACAAGCACTTTCAATTGTGCCGTCCCGACAACATTTCTCTTGTGGATTGCTCCGGCCGCGGTGCCTGCACCTGTGGCCAATGCGAGTGCAAGGAACGAGAGAATCCGGAGGAGAAAATATCAGGACCTTTTTGCGAGTGCGACAATTTCTCCTGCGATCGTGACCAGGGTAAGCTGTGCTCTGATCATGGCACTTGCGAGTGCGGCCAGTGCGTCTGTAATTCTGGTTGGACCGGACCGTCCTGCAACTGTAGGTCTTCCAATGATTCTTGCATCGCGCCTGGAACCACGAACGGTGTGCTCTGCTCAGGCCATGGCGACTGTATTTGCGGTGAGTGCATTTGCCACGAGGAGGGCAGCATTCGATACTCCGGCAGGCACTGCAACAAGTGCCCGAGTCGCTGCGAGGAGCTGAAGCCCTGCGTACAGTGCCAGATGTACGGCACCGGGAACTACAGCGAGCCGGAGGAGTGCGCGAGGAACTGCAAGGAATTCGTGCCCGAGGGCGTGGAGACGGTGATCGTCGACGTTGACAACGACGAGGTGCCGTGCTTCGGCACGGACGAGGACGACTGCAAGTACAACTTCGTCTACTACTACAACGAGACCAATTGCCTGCAGGTGCGCGCTCAAAACGAGCGCGAGTGCCCGCCGCAGGTCTACATGCTCGGCATCGTGCTGGGCGTGATCGCGGCGGTGGTGCTGATCGGTCTCGCCTTGCTGCTGCTGTGGAAGCTGCTGACGACTATACACGATAGACGAGAATTCGCCCGATTCGAGAAGGAGAGGATGATGGCGAAGTGGGACACGGGAGAGAATCCGATCTACAAGCAAGCGACTTCCACCTTCAAGCGAACTTCAAGCGACTTCCACCTTCACCGAAGCAGTCGACAAATTAGCCGTATTAACGGGCACGACCGCGAACGCAGATTTCGCGCAGTTAGAGCATGCAGTTCCCCCACTTGATATCCACGCGAAAGATTATTCAAGTTAACTCGAGCCAGACGCGCACGCGAGCGCGCACGCCCCGTAGTAATTAAAATAACTGAATTATGTAACGAAAATGTCGAGTGCTTTCGTATAGCCGAACCGTGTTCTTCGGCGCGCTTTGACGATTTGATTTTCGCGTGCGGTTGATGAAATCATTTGCAATAATGCAAAGGGCCAATTGCGAGGTTTCAAGAGCTAATTCTTCCAGAGAAAATCAAAATAACGTCCCACACGTAGAACACAAAAGTCATAATGATACCATTATGAAGTCACATGATATCATATGGACGTCATTATGACCTCATTTGCTTCTATGTTCTATCTGGGATCAAATTTGTCGACGATCAACGACTAGCGGCATTACAGCATATTCGTGAGAAAACGCCGTAAGAATATCTACGCGTGACAAATATGAATATTTTTTTCGCCAAGAAGATCCGAGTGTCTCCGTAGCCTATCGTAGGGCTTCACGATCGGTATTAACTTACCGATGGGTAATCAAGTAATGAATACATCGTCGGCAAAGACCGTACGTATATAAATCATGCCGGGGAGAATGTGCCGTGGGCTACAGGGCGAGCCCTTATCTCCAATCAGTACATTGATTGCACGCAGGCAGGTCAAATACTCGGCAGCTCGGTCCTAACACGATAGCTTATTCAATTTCCGAAACGGCATTCACCATTCAATTTGGCGGTTATCAGCCTGCGCCCATCCCCTATCTCGGGGTTTTGCGTGGCCCTCCAGAAAGCCGCGCGGCTGGATTTCGTTCCGAAAGAAGAGGCTCGGTTTATCAATGGGGTATAAATTGAGATAATCAAGATTCCGACGGCGGTGCCCCGGTATTTTTGGCGTCACGCGGGTGATCTCACTGAATTTCGATTTCGCGATTGATGACGTGACGCGTATACCCTCTGACATTATCATGTTGTATATGTCAACTCTGTCCGTAGTATACGCGAGTTCATGGGGAGATACTCGTTGAAGGAAAATATTCTCCACTATATACGCGGCAAGCGGCTGTATCTCCGGCGGCTAATTCGATAAGGCAAAGTTCTACAAGCTCGCGAGTACAGGCATTATCATTCGGCGCATTTGCCGCGCGCGTGGCTATCATTCAGCATCTACCGGGCGGCAGAGCGAGGCTGCGCACTTTCCCGCACAGTGTACATAGATAATCGAGCTTAATTAATTGCTCGTGATGCGCGCTCGGGGCTCAGCAAACACATTTACTTATTACCATCCATCTTGAGCGGTGCCTCTCAAGGGGATCGATTTTCCAAGTGCACGCGGCTGATGACACAAATTGCCAAAGGGTCGACGCTCGATCGTAACGCGATCATTAAATAGAGGCGCGGCTTTTTCTCCGTTGATCTCGCTCTACGAAACAGAGAAAGAAAGAGAAAGAGAGAGAGAGAGTACGCGACGGCATCCCGTTGGAAAAAAACGTACTTAATTATCCAACGCTTCCTCCGGTAGCGTTTACAAAAAAAAAGAAGAGAGTTAATCGCAGATCCCCAAAACGGCTTTTATGCATGAGGCGGCCTGGAACTATCTGTCTTCGTTCATCCGTTTTGCATATAATGCGTGCGCGGCGCGTGCGATGTTTCCTCTCCACGTGTGTTAACTTTAATCTAAAATTCCTTTGCGAGGATAACGCGCGTCGACATATTCAACAAGCGTCGCTGCCAATTAGTACGCAGGAAGTATCAGCTTTCAATTTTAATAACGCCTCTCCGCCGCAACATTCATCGCGCCCTTTTACACCTCACATTCTCGTAAAATCGTAAATAGAGGTATTCGTTTTAATAATAAAATAATACAGGCTTTCGAGCGACGGAATTGATGCATATTTCCGAGACGGTATCGCGGCGTTTCGCTGGCATGCTGCCAGTTGACATCACCTTCGCTGCTGCTCCAATCGAGCGACTACGACACCGCCGGGCGCAACAAGATTACGCGGCAGTTAATAGTCGGCCACGCTAATCGGCACGTCTCGTCGCCGAAGTACTGGTCTACCCGAAGCGGAAGTCCCCCGTACACCTGATCGTTATTGACTGGTACAGATCCCTTGGGTCGTAAGTGACATTTACACGATGCGTTCAACGTTAAACTCGTCCGGAGAGACGAGGCCGGGAGACGGAGCGTCGTATCTCAGTTCCGGTATCTATACGGACGCCGGGTTCCCCTGACAACGAGGCAACAACAAACGCCTAATGGCCAGTTCTCGACTCAAAGTTTAATTTCCTGACCAGCGGACAGTGCTTAAAGTGACCTTCTCCCTCTTCTCTCTCTCTCTCTCTCTCCCCCCCCTCCCTCCCTCCCTCCTCTCGCTCGCTCCAGCTCGATCTTCCTCTCCCTCTTTCTCCGTTTGCTCCTCCCCCTCCCGACCCCGCTGTCTTGCTTGTCATCACGACCGTTTTCTCTCCTTCCGTCGTCCCTCGCGCGCGCACCGGTCTCGGGGAATCGCGACCGGACGTACAGCCGCCGCTATGAAATATTAAAGAGTTAATGGCGACCCTCTTCAGAGTCGCGGGTAATTACCGCCTGACAGAGTCGCGTATCGCTGGATTAATCGATAGCGCCGAGTTTGATCCCTCGAGACGCCATTAATTGCTCGTACGTTCGTATACGAGAGACGCGCGCAATCTCTCGCGCGCGTTTTCCATCCCTTCCACGTATAATCTCGCGTTTTGTGTTCCCTTCGTGACTCGCCCGTACGGACACGATGATGCGACCGCCGTTAAAAAATTTCTTCCACCAAGGGACAACGGGGGTAACGTGCAGGCCGCGATAGTACGGTTGCGTTGTATATATCGATCTCGGGAGAGAAGAGAGCTCCATGAACCCGGAACCCACCCATGCTCGCTCGTTTGACGTACATATACATCGTATAATGCCTACGTGATCGTGGCACTGACCCCGACCGTAACGTCGCTCCTCTTTGTGCCCCGATATGCATACGTGCAGAAAAAGTTTCGGGGTTGCCGAGCACGTTCTCACCCCACCGCATATCGCGCATCTTTTTCCCCCGTAATTCTTATGGAAGCGTATAATAAAAATAAAAGGAAACAGCATGTCAGAAGACAGATGGCCGCAATGCCCAGTTGTACGCATTAAAAACCAGATTTCCCAGTCTAGTATCCCGTTACATACGCATCATCTTTTTAGTCATCTATAAGAATTGAACCAAGTCATGCGTTCACATATGTTAAGGGGAATAAAATTGTATGATTATTTAATTATCCTGTCTGTTCTATTATTAGAGAATAATAGAACAGACAGTAATGTAATATTTACTTTAACCTTATGTTCTTTCTCTTTTGTTGTAAATTTACTTCGATAATGATTATATTTGTATATGTATATCATTTCTTTCTTGATGCGATGACAGGCATGCGCTCGTTTGTATATTACGAATATATTTGAAAGGTATAAAATCATGCGTATGATTGTCGGGTTGTCGGGCTACGATACTACGGCAAAGTAACGCATTCTCTCGAAAACGGGAATTACGTTGCGCTTTTTCCCTTCCCCCCCCCCCCCCTTCCCCAACCCCAGTTTCGTAGCCATACTCTGACGTTCGGCCCAGTGAATTTTTTTTACACGATTACACGATCGTATACCTGCACGAGATATAAAGCATTCGCTTTCCCACCTATTCAATTTCTCTCTCATTTTTCTCCTTTTTTTTTATTCAACTCCATCAGTTTTTTCCCTAACGCTCTACAAATATTTGAGCGCCGACTATACCTTCCCCCGCCGAAAGAGCATTCGAGTCGAGTGAGCTTTCGCGCGCCCACCCCCTCCGGGCCACACTCGTCGTTCACCGATTGTAATCTAAGCCAATGCTTCGGCGCGCATTAAATGTCAAACGTTATACGCCTCTCTATTTCACGGCTCTGCGGTAGCGAGCGCGCCGGGGCGTTGGATGTGGCAGTCGGCTGGACAAACGCTCGGAAAATCGCGAGGCGGGATGCGATTGCCGCCCCCCTTCCCCTCCCTCTAACGGGTTTACAGCGCTCTTTGACGCGGTTCCGTTGTCACGTACCACCATTCCGAGGCTTCGATCGCCGCCCATTTGGCGGGTTACAGTCGTAACAAACGTCGAAACTTCATTGCCTCTACATGATCCGCGCCGCTCCGGCAAATGTTCGCGTCGCGCATAAGAAACCCGACATCACGCAGACATCGTCGTGGGAATAGTTATAGCTTTAAAAGACGCGATTCCAAAAGGAAAACTTCAAAAGATTTTTGACGAAAATTTCAAGTCGGCGAAGAAGGTCAAAGAGAATCACGAAAGTTTCGCGAAAAGCTAACAATGCACGTGACCGTCGGAATCTACGCGAATTTCAACGACGCGCGCGAGTCACCATTTCAAATTACGGTCTCGGTCCAACGTAGAATCCCAACGAAATCCCAATTCTGTCGTGATCGATGAACTTTGCCGGAATGCAAAAGCGCTGTCGTTGCTGGGAACGGTCGGGGGACAATCCAGATAGAAGGGTGGCGATGATTAAACCGACAAATCCAATGAGGAACCTCCGCTCCATTTGAGTTTCGTTATCGCGAATTTTAATCGGCGTCACGTCGCGGATTCCAGATGATGGGTCCAGATGTCCGCGCTCGCCGTACCGCCGGCGCGTCGCACGATCCGCGTTTATTATTGGCGATGGGCCAGCATCCGGATTTAGGATTGATGTGCCATGCAAAGCGCCGCGCGCGGCCATGTGGCGGGCCGCATTACCAACGACGTTATGCACCAGCGCATTCACGTGTGCCGCCGCATTAATTGATGCACGTTTCTGCATCAACACCCAGCCTCGTCTCGTGAGAACTCGTCATGTGCCGCGGCAATGGAGAATCTCCGATACAATCGCGCCCAATGTTTACGCGTCCATAAACACAGACGGCGTATGCGAGAGAGAGAGAGAGAGAGAGAGACTAGTCTAACTGTTATCGCATCGCGCGCGAAC